CATGCCAACCATGTGGTACACAACAATTTGTCCTTCTTTGGGGAGAAACTTAGTCCCCTATGATTCTTCTTTGGTTCGGCATCTAGTGCCCACTGCTCATATGAATCTATGTCCGCCTACTAGGTGTATGACGGCTGGGTACATGTCTGCTGGGAATCCGATTGCGGTTGTTCCTTCTAATGGGAGACATCCACTTGTCCATCTTCATAGCTACCTCTATCGTGGATGATGTTCATCGCTGCCTCATCGGCCTCCTCTGTCCCGCTAGGATGAGGCATTTCGACAAACAGTGACTGGGCACCGACGAACGAGCGTCCACAACCGGCATCTGTGACCAGCCAAACCCCGGTGACTGCGACTCTGGGAAGGCGAAGTTGGCATTGAGGTCGACGATGAACGAGACTCGATGGACGGCCGCAAGGGAGGACGCGGACTGTTGCGGCGATTGCTGCGCACTGAGTTGCTGGGAGGCAAAGTAATAGGGCGACTTGAATTGGGGCAGCCACAGTGGCGGCGCGCTTTGCTAGATGAGAAACTGGATGTAGGTGCACCACCTGTCTTTCTTCTTTGCCTTTTGGCGGTGGGTGTTGCGTTCCGCGGACGCGGCCACCACCGATGGGTCCTCTGACATCGGCGTGGATGCATGGGAAAGGGCGGGGTTTGGCACGAAAACAGTTGTGGATGTCCAAATATGTGGGTTGTGGGTGGGATTTTTGGGTGGGTCCGATGGGCCGGAGTCCGACATGGTGGATGTCCGAACGCCCTTAAACATTCCCTATCTCTGGTGTCTTTTTTTGTGATTTCGGACATCGGGACCGGTCTGGACAAATTTGATGATCGGCGTTAAATGGCAAAGAATGTTCAGATTATCCGGTTCAAACATTTAGAAACGATTTGGCGGACCCTACCCTAAGAAGATGAGATTTTTTTTTTCGAATCATAGTGACAAAGGTGGGTATTTCAGTCATACACTCGTACCACTGGCGTGTGGGCTCCATCCGTCGGCTGACTCGGCAGTCCACGTGCGCATCCGAGTAGATAAAGCTTAGCTATAAATCCGGACGGGCTCGCGTCGCGTGCCCGGCCGGCAAACCGCGACCGATCGAACAACCCGAACCGCCTGCCACCGCAGCAGCGGCAAATCCGAGCACGCCGGCGGCGGCGGCGGCAGCACGGCGCGGGGCCGGCTTCACCGCACGCGCGCGGCTCTCGTGCCGTGCGCGCCTCGACCTCCCCCCGCTTTCCCCAGGCGCCGGGAGGCGGATCGTGGTGGGATTCGGGTGCGGGTCAAAAGGCCGGGGATTTGAGGAAAATGGCGGTGCGGGCGGGGTGGGTGGTGGCGGTGGCGCGGGGGTCGGCGGCGGCGTGGCAGCGCGTGGCGTGCAACCCGGAGACGCTCCCGCCCGACCGCGTCCTCGCGCTCATCTTCTGCGGGCCGCTCCACCTCCTCGCGCGCCTCGCCGCCTGCCTCTGCGTCCCCCTCCTCGCCGCCAGCGCCCCCTTCCGCTTCGCCTCCCCTCGCCGCCGCCGCCGGATGCTCCTGCTCCCGGCCCCCGAGCTGTTGCTAGCTCCGTACTCCCCCTCCCCCTCCTCCTCCTCCTCATCGTCCGACGAGGATGACGACGACGGCGACTACGGCGGCACTGAGGACGGGGACGGCATCAGCCCTCACGTCGATTGAGGTACACGGCTGCTCATTCACTGCTTTTGAGCTCATGCCTGATTGCTTATTGCGTACTAGTAAATTAGCTTGGAATAGCTTTGTTGTGCTCCTGTTATGGAAATGGTTTGTGCAGTGCGTGAATTCTGAATAATCTGTACCTCCATAAGCAATGAACATCAAAATTCAGGATGGGCAGTGTGGCTACTACCCGAACCTGATGGATTTTATTTTGGGGAATTCAACCGCATCACAACTGTTCCTTGTAATGTTTTAAACATAGCTCTTCAAGTAAGATCTGGTGTCCTTTTCGAAAGAAAGAAAAAACTCAATCCTATGTATCAGTTCTGGGCATGTGGTCATTTGACAGTATGGCTTATAAGACGCTAAAGTTTGGATGCTACAAAGCGCTAGTATATCTTGAGGAGGTGGATCATATGGCACCATGCCTGGAATTCTGCTGATGTTTGCCTGATATAGAAATCGTTGAGTTGTGGTGTTATTGTGCATTTTCATTGTTTACTCTGCTTTGATCATATTTCAGATTTGAATGCGGCGTCACTGAGTTGCACACCTGATTTAGTCAGTCTACATGATCAAGTTATCGCCATTAAAACAAACATAGTAGTTTAGTTGCCCATCTAGGAGTTGCATTTGCAAGTTGGTGTCCAACAAACCTTGGATTCTGAACGGACAAGGTGACTCTGGAGTCTACACGCACTCATTTTCCAAGGTCGTGAACTTAGTCATGAGAATATCGATTCTTGAGAGAAGTCTTGCATAAAAAACGTGCTGTGCATTGTTGTTCCAAGACTTGCTCTGTTTTATAAGAGCTATTGTTGCATTAAGGCCTGCTGTAAGCTTGGGTCAAAATATGATTTTGAAATTTCAGATCAGTTGCATATCCTGAATTTCTGATGTAAACAGAAAACTAATGCCAGGGGAATCAAAGACTAACTTGACAATGATATTCAAAATGCTGGTTCAGGTTTGGACTCCTAAGCTCTGCCAGAGCAACTTGATGACAACGATTATAAGGACAATAGTTCTCAAACACATCTTCATAATTGACCGTCTCTCCACCTTCCTCGATGAATGATGACGATATGTAGTGCCTTGCATGTCCAGTCTGCTAAAACATTTAGATTCACTGCTCTGCTTGATTTTTGTTGCTTGACTTCCCAAAAGTAAGACCTTAGTCTTAGAGAAGAAGCATGTTTCTGGAGTACCATGTGGAAAAATGGAAATGTTCTATTTCGACGGGCGCATTTAGGCACTTGAACTATAGTTATCGAATCCAAACGAAGCTTAAGATGAATCTTTAGCCAATTAAGAAATGTGACATAAGTTTTTACGGTTTAACTGCAAGCAGAAGTTGTTTTGATGCTTTTAGAACATAAATGGGTTTATTTTATTGACCAGTTGATATCATGCCACTCTAATGAACTCGGTAGTTTTGTAATTTTTAGTAGATAGACAGTGTCATCAATACCATCATGGCGACATTTAAGGGCTTCGGTGCTTATAGATCATAGATATCTTGTCCATATATGTTACTCTCATGTGTAGAGGATATTTTGGTAGAACAAGAACAACACTTTGTTCATCTTTACACCTGATACACTACCCACTTTTTATTGAAACTAAGCTACTAAAAAGAATTCTAGCTGAAAATATAGAAGGAGATTAGAAGGAAAAGTTACAATTTTGATATCTCAACATTCCTCTTCCGCAGAACTTTGAAAATTTCTTTCACCCTGACAATGGGGCATGTATGATTGATGCTAGTTTGCATTGCATTTCTTAGAATAAGAATTTCTATGGGAAATTTCTAACTTCTACATCCTCCATCCTTCTCTAATTTGTATCCTTTTCAGGTTGCTTAGGAATAGGCTCTGGAAGAGAAAGAACTTTGGTCTTCAGTTTCAAAGATTGTGCACTTGCCTGCGATACCTCACGCAAAACCATCAGGCTTTCTTGTCTCTTAGTTTTCAGGACCTAACAATTTGTGGATCATCATTGTTAATAAGCTTATGGGCTGGGAGCCACGAAACAGACATCCGAGAGATGAAAACTGGTTGACATTGTCGGTGTGTATATTGTTGCATTGTATGTATAAGTGGATCTCATCACCAAGTAGTGGTGATGAAATGGCGCCTGTGTGGCTGTGTACTCGAAAGTCGAAATGCAGTTCCAGATTTCATTTGAAATGCCTGCCTTCGTGTGTGCAAATAACAAGGTCTCGCTGTTGCTACTTGATGAGTCACATCACATCATTGGTTCTCTGAAAGCACACTGGTATTTAGGAGTTATAACTTATAAGACATCCTTTGATAGTACAAGGAAGGAAATACTCCCTCAGTAAGTACACATAACTAATCTGTGGTCGCTCTCAGCTATATTGGAAACCTATTTTGCATTGTGAATCAGTTAGCTTTGAAAAACGTTCTTACATTATGAGACGGAGAAACTATCTACTAAAGTTGTCGTAACCCAACATGAACACATATAGCCAGTGGCGGATCTAGGACCCGGGGCACGAGGCCTAAATCCTGTAGGGCCTCTTTGATTCATAGGATTGCAAAAACATAGGAATAGAAAAAACGCAGGGTTGGAATGGCATGTCCATTGGATCCCTATAGGATTTGAGTTTGTTTGATTGTGTCAAGGGAAAAATAAAGGATTTCTTCCAAGAGGTTTGAGTGGATGCTAGAATTCCTATGAAATGTAGTACAAATGAATCCTTAGGAAAAAATTCTATAGGATTCAATCCTACGAATCAAACGATCAACATAGGAAAAATTGCTAAGGATTAATTCTTCAAAGATCCTACGAAAATCCTTTGAATCAAAGAGACCCTTATATTCTGTAGCAAAATTCTTACAATTGCTACAGTATACGTAGGCGGCCGGGGAGGTCAGATAGTTAGGTTAACCAGCCCACCAGCGTCAACTTCTATATTTGGCACTGGTGCTTACATTAGTGGGAGGAGATACCAATAACTGTTATCTCTAAAAGAAAACCAAAAACTGATTATTAAGCAAAATCTTGGCTAACCCATCCTCCGGGGAGATGTCTCCTTTCCTTTCCCTCCCGCCTGGAAGCAAACCGCGAGCAGAACCGCGTGCGATCCCAAACCCAAATCCTTACGGCTATATCACCCCCTCTCCTCCATTGCCTGCCTGTCGCCGGATCTCTCGCTTGCCCTCGACTCGAGGTACTCCTCCTTGCCAGCTACCTATTTGCTCGCCCGGGGTTCGTGTTCGTTCGTGGGAGCTGAAGGTGGCGAGTGCCGGCCGACGCGCGGCCAGAAGGTGAACGGGTTGTTCGATCGGCGGAGATGGGGTGGCCGACGTGTGCCCAGGCAATATGGGCGGCGGCCGCGATGGTGGCGATGCTTGCCGCGGCGGTAGGGGAATCCGACGCGGGCGAGCTAGAGCGCGCGTAAGTACTGTAGTAGTACAAAATTTCTGAAAAGAGACGCTACTGTACAACAAGGATCATTGTAGCTATGTACCAGAGCTTTTACCGATGCTAGTTATGCATGCAGGTTTCCGATCGTGGAGCCGGATTACGGCCACACTAAGCTCCGTCTTTCGAAGCAAGGCCTGGAGGCAATCCAAAGGATCAACACCCCGATAGCTGCTGTCTCTGTGCGTACAGTACCAAATTGCTAATCTGAATCAACTGTGCTTCCTCCTCGTTATTACAGAGTTGATTTCTTTGTCATTTTTCTCCCAATTAATGACACGACGATGCAGCTGTCTCTGCGCACACTGACTTCTTTCTATGTGTCTGCTTGTCAAATCAGGTCATTGGTCCATATCGATCTGGAAAGTCTTTCCTTCTCAACCAGCTTCTCTCCTTGTCATGCGACAAAGGTAACGCCAAGCTTCTGGTCTCTGTCTCCTTATATCATATTACACGACGATTGCTTCAGATAAGTGCTTGTTTTGACCAGGACGGAGAATGATAAATTTGCTGTGCAGGTTTTGGAGTTGGACACATGCGAGATACCAAAACCAAAGGTAAGATATATATATATATATATATATATATATATATATATATATATATATATATATATATATAGTGTTACTATTCATCACCCGGGATGCAGAATAAGTTATTCTTCATCCGAGATAATCTTACGATTATTTCATAATTAAATTACGTTTGCAATTTAAATAGTTACATTCCTATAGATTCATTACGTAAAATTTGGCATAAGAAAATAAAAATATAGGTCATAAGACAAGAAAATTTGCACTTTATGTGTATTTTACACTATGTTTTTACGTTTGTAATTTTACATAACATAAAATATTTTTTACAACGATTATATATTTTCTTACGGTCTCTTTTTATGTCGGAAATAAGATAAAACTTACGGAACGTAAAAATACGGGGCATTGATGGTAAAATAGAGGGGGTGAAGAATAATTATTCCTCACCCAGGGTGACGAATAGCGCGATATATATATATATATATATATATGCCACCAGTTTAATGTTCTTGTCAATGTCGCACACATATGCTGATCTGAGATACCAACGTTTGAAGGTATATGGATTTGGGGTACTCCCGTTGAGGTCTATGTTGATGGCTCCAAGGTGTCTGTCCTTTACCTGGACACTGAAGGATTCGAGAGCATTGGAAAATCCAATGTATATGATGACAGGTTTGTTGCTGTTGCCTACAAATAAACTGTGCAGTAACTAATTAGGCATTATAAATTCTTGGCTCTAATGTAAAATGCGTCGTCGGACGTTTTGTTTTCATGTTAGGATATTTGCTCTGGCAGCTGTCCTGAGTTCTCTTCTTGTCTACAATCTCCCTGAGACGGTAACGCCCTCACCTCGGCTCTACTCATATTTTCTTATAGGTGTTAATTTAGCAATTTGATAGCCGTCAATTTTACATACTTGATAGATTCGTGAAGCTGATATATCCAGACTCTCATTCGCTGTTGAACTTGCTGAAGAATTCTACGGAAGGTTTGGTTGCTGCCATTTCTGATTGGACCTTTTCATTTTAACAAGTTCATCTTCCTAGTGTGTTCTAACAAGTTTCTGTTTTTCTATATGGCTTGTGCAAAACAAGGGTGAAGGTAATAATACTTCATTAACTTGACTCTCAGAGTTATGAAAATTAATTGAACACTATATGTAAATCGTGTCTCCTGTTTCTGCAGGGCCAAGATGTTGCTTTTGAGCCGGCAAAACTTCTGTGGCTGATACAGAGGGATTTCCTTGGTAAGTTGTTTGTGCATTAATCAGGTCGTTTTGTATCACGGGGTTTTATTTTGGGAGAAACATATATAGTGTATGACAGATCAGATCATCAGAATTCTAAATGATTAGCAAACTTGGTTCCCTGAATCCTGATCTCATTGAAACTGCTGCATTCTTTCTGATTCTGAAGATTTGATCATTTCTGAATTGAAGGCTTCATTCAGGATATGATTGACTTTCCGTGTTGTAGATAGATGAATGCAACAAAATCTCTAAGTTTCTATTTCATTTCTCTTATGTGCAGAAGAGTTTACATACCATAGTCCCTTCTGCAGACCAGTAGACCACACCGTATTGCCTGAATAGTCCTAGCATGTTGTTTCTATCTCGTCTTTTTATCTGATTATTAAATAGCACTTTGGCTGAATGTAGCAACTTAGAGATTAAGTAAATTGGCCTTAATCCACTTAGAGATATTGAATGCTATGATTAGCTACATTAGAGCTGAGACTTCGAATTAGCTAAGAGAGCCATCTTTATAAATAGGGCAGCATGTATTTGAGTCATCTAATGTATGAGATAAACTACTTGTACCATTGCCATCCCCAGTGGCTGCCTACCCTCACTCCTTGGAGACGTAACTCCATGGCACGTCACTCAGTCCTCGGACTCTTAGCAACCACAGCAAGTGATTACTTTTTTCATTGATGCCATTGAGAACGAATGACGTAATCACTAGTCCTTGCACGGCAAAACATTTTCAGGATACTCTTGGCATGGAGTTCATAAAATTCATTTATTACAGTAAATGGTTGATGCTCCTTAAAGTATCCACATTTGTTTTAAATAGTTTTTAGTTAAGTACTTAGCATGGGTTTTAGACTTGCAGCACTAAATATATAGTACATTTTTTCACACAAGTCACTGTTTAGTCATGTCTAGTATTTGCACTTCACTGTTTGGTCAAACTTCCTTTTTTTTCGTTTTCTTAACTGTTAATTTTCATAAAACAGAAGGAAAATCTGTACAGCAGATGGTTGATGAAGCTCTCCAACGGGTGCCTAACAGAAATGGTTAGTTCAAGTTATATTGCTGACGACTCCTACTTTTATTAGTTTGAGATTCTTCTGCTATTGAAATACGTCTGTTTGCAGCTGTTGGATCTCGGAATATCTTTTGAGCAGTTGAATTAACCTTCTTTTAATGTCTTGTTACAGGAGACAAATATATTGACGAGGTACAATTATTTTGAGCTATATCTAAGTGGGAAAATATGATATGCGAGTTTGTTAACAAAAAAATGGTTTTCATGTTATATTAGGTCAACCAAATCAGAGACTCGTTGGCAATTATGGGTGATAACAGTACTGCTTTTAGCTTGCCCCAGGTGTGTTATTATAACTTATAACAAGACAATTATAGTTGTCCTGCCCATAACTCAATCTTTGTTCATTCCAATGATTCTATGCTAAATTCTCTTTTGTGTCTACACCTGATTGGGAAGCTGAGATGATGAAATTATTCTTTTCCAGCCTCATCTCCAAAGAACAAAGTTATGTGATCTGAAAGACCAGGAACTTGAACCATTGTATGTACAAAGGAGGGATGAATTGAAGCAATTAGTTGCATCCATGGTAAAACCAAAAATTGTGCAGGGTAGAACTTTAAATGGAAAGGAGTTTGTAGCCTTCTTAGGGCAGGTAATGCTCGTTAGTGTTCATATTTTTATGTATCTTTAACCTTGATATTTTCTTGAAAAATATTATCTGACATTGTATGACTTTGTCTAGATACTTGAAGCTTTGAATAAAGGCGAAATTCCATCGACAGGGTCGCTTGTTGAAGTTTTCAATAAGGGCATCCTTGAACGTTGCTTGAAGGTGTATACTGAAAGAATGGAAATAGTGGCTCTACCAGTATCAGTTGATAAACTTCAGCTGGCTCATGGGTTGGCAGAAGATGAAGCTAGAAAGCGTTTTGACAAGCAACATTTTGGTAAACATTATGCTGCTCAGTCCTTCCTCAATCTTGATGAAGAAATAAAAAAGGTTCTGTTTGCAGCACTTAATTTTATGGACTTCAAATTATATACGCCCCATTTTTAGTTAATTAAATACTAGATGGCAATATCTATACTTTCAGTTAACTGTATATTCTTTTTAGGTGTTCAGAAGCTATGGATTAGCCAATGAGTATCAGTCATCAAAGCTGTGTGAAGCAAAGTTCTCAGAGTGTGAAGAAAAAATGGATCACCTTCAAGCCTTGAAGCTTCCTTCCATGGCAAAATTCAATGCAGGATTTCTCCGCTGCAACCAAAGTTTCGAAATGGAGTGTGTGGGGCCTGCCAAGGGTAGCTATGAGCATCGAATGTCAAAGGTTTGTTTCTTTCAACGCAAGATACCTTCCATGAGGAGAGATGATCGTCCACTAACTGCAAATCCCATACTATTTTTTCTCATAAATGAAAACTAGAAGAAATCATCCTTTCACTTTATATTCGTATGGCGTTCTAATTTAGTTGATGATGACTAATCACATCTTACTTTGTTCTGCTACTTATATATATTTATTTGCTGTTTTCTTTCTAATAAAGTAAAACATTCACTGAAGTAGGTAATGATGTAGAACTAGCTTTAAGAACCTTTTCTGATTTATATGGATAAGAATTGGAAAAGACTAATCATCTAGACACTAATCATCTGTGGAAATGCCAAAGTACACTTTTTTGGAAGATGCTGTATTTTAAGGCCTGGAAACTCTCGTGGTGTATATTATCTGGCTCTTAGGCCGGTAATCAAAGACTAATCATCTAGACATTAATGGTATGGCCAAAAATATCGCCCTCCTGTTCTGTGAAATGCCAAAGTAGTACACTTTTTGGAGGATGCTGTATTTTTAGGCCTGAAAACTGTACTCGAACATCTCTTACAGAAGCCTATATATAATCTCTCATGGTGTCATCTACTGTATTAGCTGACTCTCATTCCCATGCTGCATTGCATGCTCCAACAGATGCTCGCAAGGTCCCGTGCTCTGTTCATCAGGGAGTATAACAACAAACTCTTCAACTGGCTGGTGATCTTCTCCCTAACCATGGTGGTGATCGGGCGATTCATCGTAAAGCTTCTTCTACTTGAAGTTGCTGCATGGGTGATGTTCATCTTCCTGGAGACATACACGAGGTTGTTCTGGTCATCGGAATCGCTCTACTACAACCCCATCTGGCACGCCATCGTCTCTTCGTGGGAGGCCATTGTGTACAGCCCTGTTCTTGATCTTGACAGGTTACCTAGCTTTCCTCCTTGCTGACACAAGTCCACAACACATAACAGATCTCTTTCTGAATTCTGACTGACTGAGTGACTGCTATATCACTCTCACAACATTGTTCTTTGTTGAGCAGATGGGCAATCCCAATTGTTGTCATGCTGTCCTTCTTAGCTGTTTATTGGCGTTGCATCGGCGCAAGGGGAAGGATCGGTCGGTCGGTGTTACCCATGTACAATGGGTCTTTCAGAAGCAGCTCCGGTCGGCCCAGGACGGATTAACACCCTTCACATATGAGAAATGGATATGGATGGATGGATTGATGGTTCAGACAGAGTGTTTGACATGATTCTCTTCGTGATAAAATCGGAAGGCGGAGGTCTCGGATTCTTTCAATGGGGATGGATGAAGGCGCAAAAAGGGTTATGCTGCTGACCCTGTGAATTCCTTGGCATCACCAGGGTGTACTGATTAGTGATTACAAAGAGGATCCTCCATCATTGTTAATGAGCTCATGGGCTGGGAGCTTCAAAACGGACATCTGAGAGATAAAAACTGGTTCACATTGTCAGTGTATATATATTACTGCATTGTATGTATATGTAAGTGGAACTCAGCACCAACTATATATTGGTGATGAAATGTGACATGTATATGTGCTTGAAAGTCGAAATGCAGTTCCAGATTTGAATTGAAATGTCTGCCTTCACATGTGCAAATTCTAACAAGGTCTCACTGTTGCTACTGGTTTTTATTGGAGACCTTTTGCTCTGTGAATCAGTGATGGATTACAGCTGCGCACTATAATGCCATGCCGACTCCTGTGTCCTGATTAAAGGTGTTTGCAACATGCGGTGCTTTCCATGATCCCGTCGCCGTCGGTGTTGGTAAGAGAACTGAACAGGTGACGTGCCTGTAAAACTCTGCTGCCTTTTCTTCAGGAATTGGATGTTATATTTGTGAGAAGAGACAACTTTTATCATGCTTCACTCAGCAGGGAATCTGGGTTGGTGGGTCTGACTCAGAAGCACTAATTATGTGATGATTCCACACTGTATTTTTTGGCCGTCAAATCATTAGTTCATTACCTCCAATTTCTTTGCTTTTTTTTAGGCAATCCAAATTTCTTTGCTGTTATGGATATCTGTTACCCCTGGTATGGCCAGGGAATAAGTATGGGCTTGGTGGTGGACTGGTGGTGCAGGGATCGACATGGGCATGGACAGAGAGAGGTGGGGGATCTTATCATGTGCAGTGCAGATGTGCCACCGCATTGTCATTTCTGTGCTCTCTGCTCATCTGATAGAGCCAACAAATTTCATTTCCCCTTTTCAGCTCTACTGGGTTGTGTGTATATATCCAGCTTTCTCTTGGCTTCCAGCCCTCAAGGGGCACGAAACTGAATATACTCCAGATTCCAGATTCTCTCCTTTGATTTACAGGGTTTGCATAGGAATTTTACAGGATTGACACCCTCTGGATTTTTTCCTTTACATGTTGTTTGATTCTTAGGATTGCATTCCTCGGGAACCAATCCTATAGGAACTTCTTAGTTCATTTTTACAGGAAAACAAGCATGAAGTTGGACTTCTTGGAAAAAATCCTCTGTTTTGCTACCCAACGTAGGATTTCAGTGGACGTTACATCCCATAACTGATTAACAAATTCTAACAAGGCCTGTCCTGGGATGCGGTGCCCGTGCGCCCAGCGCGTGGACGCATCCCGGCCGCATCCTGTCCGCGTATTATTTCTTTGCAAATCCTTAACTTTATTTCATCATTCATTTTTGGTACATGAAAAATACATCATCACATTTTTACTAGCAAAGTAAGACCAAAGAAAATAAGAACCACAAGAATACATTTTAGAAGATACCCAACTTCCATAACTGCTCCCTTGAGTTGGGTTAGGGCCTTCTCAATGCACTCGTTGTTGATCTGTGGAGGAGGAGGCTCGATCTGGCATCCTTCTTTCTTCTTCAAGCCAGAAGTCGATGTTGCTTCCTCCTCACACCTAGTCTCGTGTCTAGCCTCTAATCTAGCAACAAGTGCACGTGTCTCATTTACAGCCTCTATGCTAGCTAAAAGTGCACGAACATGTACTAAATTTCGCTCTATCAATATATCGATGTACTCTTCTTCCCAATACCAAAACTTGCATCCGTTCTACACAACAAAATTTGAAGTTAGCACAACTAGTTAAATCTAGAGCACAAACCAAAGCTAAAAAAAGCGCATACCCCATCGTTTAAGAACTTGATGAACACCCATCCAGGATGTTCCGGCGTTGTAGACACGCGGCGCACGACCATCCTTGGGCAGTGGTCGCACTTAATAAGTGGCAACGGTGCGCCGGCGAGCTTTTGGGCAAGCACCGAGCCCGGCCGACCGCCATTCGTGTATCTGCCGGCGGACCACCGACGGTGCAGATCCGAGCGGCTAGAGGAGGAGCCACTGCATGCATGTGTCCTTGCGGCCCTGCCAGGGCCTTCCGGCGAGGTGCCTGGCCAGTCCATGCCGCGGCCCGGCCTCCCACAGCCGGCCGAGCTCAAGACCGATCGGATCCGTCCCAAAACCGGCCGGCGGTGCGCAAACCAGGTGGCCGTGGTCGCGTCCGAGCCCGGCGCCGAGGGGAAGGGGTTGGGCGAGCCCGCGTCCGAACTGCACGGCTGCAATGGCAGCGGCGGCGGCGGCGGCAGCGACGGGAAGAGTGGGGAAGAGTGGAGGGGGTGCGGCCGGAGGGAGGGAGGGGGGCGAATAGAAAAAGGCCCGTCTTGTGCCACCGACGGGCGGGCCAGGGGAGGACACGCGCAGACGGCCCGCGTGTCCGCGTGGTGTCCGTTACACCCCAAAAGCGGCGCAAGTTTGGGCCGGGAATGAGTCGAAAGCGGACACAAAGCGGACAAAAGTCCGTTTGCTCCCGCGCGCTGGGCCGTCTTTTTTGTCCTTTTTACCCCAAACGAAAGGGGCCGGACAGGATAGTGTCGCGCGATGGAGTTGGCCTTAGTTAGACAGAGAAAGTTTGGGGATCTTATCATGTGCCACTGGATGTCATCTCTATCTGTGCTTCTGGTCTGGTACGGCCAACAACACATTGATCCGTATGTTCTACCACGAGCAGTTTTCAGCCCCGCCTAAATTTTAAGTGTTCCATTCTCCCTTTTCAGCTCTACTGGGCTTCCAGTTCCAGACCTTTTTTTTCAAGCACGCGCAAAAGACTTGCGCGCTTTCTGTATTAAGAAGAGAAGAGTTTTTAAATGTTACAAGGCACTGATAATCAGTGCAGCCACAGAGAAGCAGAACTTAAGTTACATCTCTCACTATCCCACCTATTTTAGCTCTTATCCACAGTTCCAACCCTGAAGTCTCAAGAGTGAAGAGGCAAGAAACTGACTGCCTGTTTGGAACCTCTCCAGTCTCCTAACTCCGCTCCGCGTGAGGAGCTCGGTTTGAGCCGCTCCCTGCAATTGTGCTGGCGCCTCCTCCGCTTCGGGAGCTGCACTTGTGGAGCGGAGAGGATCCGAACAGGGCCTGAATGTACTCTGGAGTCCAGATCCCAGAATCTGTACCCATCACTATTGTACCTATGCGTGCAACGTAGCTTTGTTATGTTTATTATGCTATATATACTCCTACTTGCGTTGCTCTGCATGTGTGTGTATGCCTACAATGCATGATCCACGGAGTAGTGTCCAAATACGGCCTTCCTATTCATCCATCCATCCATTTATCCTGTTTTTACAGCATCAAGAAGCTAGAGAGGTCGCCATCCTCTTTCATTTTCCAAACGAATGATCTCCTATCCCATCCTTAGGTTGAAACGTAGCTTTCGGAATATTCACCGAACAAATGGATCAGGGTAAAAAGAGTGCCCTTCACTCATTGTGAGTGTGGAAGTGGAACCCTGCGGTGCGTGAACAGCCCCGGCACATGATCGGCTGGTCATGCACCCTGGACACGTCGGGTCCATCCCATGGAGCAGCACACTAGTTTACCTTACCATGGTAACTAGTAACACACAAGCCTTTTAGCCAAAGCCATGGCTGCAGCTGCATTATGGGGCGTGTCTGCTAAGCCTCGGCCAGCTGTGGACAAGAGCGATTCATCCCTGCTTTGGAGCCCTCCCTAGACCCTAGAGGGAGGGGGCACTGATGAAAAGGGATTGGCTCCTAGCAGCCTCCCTCCTGGCCTAGGCAAATCTAATCGCTTCACGGGCAAGCCATCGGTCCATAGAGATAGAGGATTGTACTCTGGCACGCATACGCTATGCCTTCCTGTCTTTCTTGGTCTTTTATAATTTATATCGCTCGTTGGAAATCTGGTTTCCATTTGAGCCACAGTACGCACTAGCTGTTTGAACCCTTGAGAGCGCTGAGATGAGGGAGAGGGACTGTGATCCCACTCTCTTCTTCAGGTAGATTCTACTGCCTGGCGTACTGGCGTTTCTCAGTAACTTTTGCATCAGAGCTTGGGACCCGTCGACTTGCATGGGACCTATTCAGTGCAATTTTGAGAGACCATAATTTTTTTTCAAAGATTGCAACTCAAAAGGGTCCATGTGAGACAGAGGGTGGACAAAGTCCAGGCCTGTATATCGAGTACACACAGCTTTGTAGGGGCACTCGTACGTACGGGAGATTGCTGCATACATTGCTTGCTGACTGCAGTAGTAGTACGTGGCAGCAGGATAGGTGGTCCAGCTAACATGGATGCAATGCATAGGATGGACACGCTGTGATTGAGCGGACCACAAAATGTTCCTGTGCATAGTGCATAGGGATTAGGGAGTACAATTAGGCACGGGCTGTCATTTTGGTGACACGTCTCCTTGGGCCGGCCGGCGTCTCGACCACACACAGGAAAAACATGCTATCAAACTAGATGAGCTTTTAGTGTGTACTACAGCTCATGTATAGGTTTGGCCGTCTAACCGTCCCCTGGCCTGGATGCTGCTGACGGGGAAACGTACGTGCTCACAGCATCTACAATCATAGTTGGCATATCCAAGCCCCTAATACGCCAACGGATGCGTCCGGACATGCCCACTGGCACTGACCGGGCATACCTCAGATTTCTTCCCAAACAATCATAATAGGCATTTTCGATTACCATTTGCATACAAACCATGCAACGGCGTTATCAACCTACTCATCCTCTCGTCAGAGATTACTTGAGTGAAGTGTGTTATCCGGCCCCGCGGCTCCTCTCCTCCTTGCCGGTCGGCGTCGGCGACGACCGGACCCTTTCCTCCCCTCCGCTAGCAAGATCGGCACAAATCTTCT